TTTAATATAATCCAGTACGAGACGAAAACTTTTCGATGGCTTCCCCATTTCCTTTCACCATTCACTGTCAAATCGATCAGAATCGAGAGGATTGCTTCATAGAAAAGAAACACGTCGATGACCATTGTTCATGCAAACTGGTTTTTAGAGCGAAAGAAGTTGCCTCATTTTTTGAGATTTGTATGGCGTCATAGTCTCCGCGACCCGGAAGGAGAAGCGGCGATGGAAGATGAAGATGGCGTCATAGTATTCGCGGTATTAGTCTGTGCGAAACGTCGTTTCTTTGCGTAACATAAATTCACTCTTACTACTGACATACACAGCACGACATCGAATAAACGGGACCAGAGCTGTGATTGCACTTTGTTGTCTCCTTTTCAGCCACAGTAACTGACAGTTCTGACCTCGCATACGCTTTTCAGCATGTTTGAAAGGTCATCGCAATTCACGGGTTAACACTGTTGTAGCTGAGGAGCACTATTATGTGTAGTCAAAATCTGATCCCTTTTATTCGATGCCGCGCTGTCTGTATATCGTATGTAAAAGCTTTGTGGAAATTGTTTCTTTAATCACACGAGTAAGTTGCTTCAGTATATTACACTGCGGTTTTGCTTGCATTTCCATCACGTATCACTAACAGCATTATGCTTAGAAGCAATTGTCATGTTCTTTTTTCCTCTCTGTACTCACATAACATTTTCATGTCTTGGCTTGACCTATTTGATGTTGCAAAGGGTTGCAATATCCAGCGCTTCTTGTCACTGTTTTCCATTGCTTCTTGTACTATGTAATGTTCGAAAGGTATTCAAGCCAATCCTTTTGTTAGGCATGGCCGTTGTAGTCATTTTCAACATGATAATATATAACCATGAACTTTCTGACCTGCGTCTCGGCATTTTGCAGCATGATTTCACCACACTGCGAATTATGACTCTGATCAGCTACTTGTCTTTCCACGATAGTGCCTAAGAGCAAGAGTTTTGTTTTCCTTATTTCATTAGAAGGACATTTTGTACCAGTCCCCTTTCGATGTATTTTCTTGTATCTTTAGTAGCACCAGCTTGTGATTCAACATTTGTGATCTGCTTAATTAGTCGAGTATTCTGCGCCAACAGCAGCATGAGAACACTTCTTGCACATTGGTTTCGTTTGTGGCAAAGGTACATTTGCATGTAGGACATGATGTGACGATTAGTGCGTTGATCCATCGTTTGAGGGAATACAGTACGAAAGCAGACAGATTTCAAATGTAACTTCTGAAATTCGTACCAGCAACGTCTCATGTGTGAATGAAAACCGATACATTTTATTCCATTGTTTTCAGCTTGATATGACAACAAACAAGCGAATGAACACCAGTAATCGTCAGGGCATGATGCTAGATCTCCTGATAGTTATTTCTTCTGTTAACCACGAGTTAAGAAGATATATTCGGCTTCGTGCTTTCTTCCTTGAAATCGCCAGATAATGCATAAAATTTCCGGTTTCGATAGCTGCAGGCTCATCGATAAGTACTAAGATTTTACTCGGGAACCAGTAACAAAATCATAAGATTTGCTGTACGATCCTTGGATGTTGATTCGGTAGGACTTGCAGATCAACTGATAATTGATATCGACTTTTTTGCTTGTTAAGAATATAATTTCTTTAATATGAAATCTTCGGATTTTTAGTTGGAGGCAGATGGCAAATATTCTCTCTTCAGACTGATAACGTCGTAAATTTAAAAATTTAGGCAGTGCTAATGCACCTGATTTCCATGACACAGTGCATAAAAGTGAACTGAAGACATTTTCTCTGTCGCCGATCATCAGAATCATCTGGAAAGACTTCTCAGTTAACAGTCATTCTCCGTGCAGAAATTAGAGGCATAATGTTTTCTTTGGACATTAATAGGTCAGTAGTATTCAGTTTTTCCCCTGGCTTGAATTCAACCGTCTTGAGAGCTCTCTCTGTTGCAGATACCGTTTCAGAGTGCACGACGAGGTTTTACGACTGTGGAAGCAGCTACGAAGTATGCCACTACCATATTTCTTACTGTCATCGTTGCCTGTTTTACATTACGGCGGCCTAGAGGTTGGATAGTGGAGATCCATACTTAGAAAAGCGAAGATAATCTTAGGCATTCCTGTAAAACGGTACGATTTAAGAATTGTCCGTCTTTTACTGGTTTGCACGCCTATTGGGTTCCTGAAAGCCTACTTTAGGCATTTCCACTTTATGTCCTTTCATCTCGCAGGTATGCCGTTCAGTTCTCCATGTAAGGCAAGACGTTTCACCTGCTGTCAAATACTGTGCTTAGATTTTGCTGCTGTCTTTCATCTTACTTCTAAATGTTGTATAGCAATGCAGCTGTAAAACAATGTATATAATGAATGAATCTGTAG